AGAGGTTGTAATAATGAATTCGGTGGTATGTTAATTTTAAGACAAATCTTTATTTATTGTTGTTCATAAAATCTTGAAAAATTTAATACTTTTCTTTTCATAGATTGTGGTGCTCAAATTATATCTGCCTCTTGGGTAGATTTGCCTAAACCACCGAATGGAGAATGGGAAGGTTGTATGCATATGGATAATCGATATACATATTTAAATCTTACGGTTAGTGCTCCTCAGAACCCACAAGCAATCGGCACTTTGGTATTTAGTGATGACAATGGCCACCATGAACAATTTTCTGACGAACCTTTACGGGTTAATGACAAGCAGAGTAGTACCACATACAATTCCTTATGGGTATTTGATTATAAACCTAGCAATGTATGGGCTGATGTTTGGGCTACAGTATATTGGGCATGCCAAGAAAGCAATTGTGCTTCTGAACATTTACACTTACGGGTTTGGGCCCCCTAGTTTTTATATAACAATAATTTATCATAAATGTTTCAACAAATTAATTTTGCTAATGCTTTTTACAAACTAAACCCTTTTTTGGTTTATTTTTGGTTATTTATTCCAGCTTTATTTTATCATCATGAAATTTTGTGGACTGAATCTTTAAATTTTAAATATCTTAAAATTTTGTTATTACATTATTAATACATAAATTTCATAAATAAAGTTATGTGTTCGGCGTGAGCCTATTATTCCCTCTAAAAAGGTTACATTGCTAGATTTAAATTTAAAATGCTGCTTTAACATACTATATAATTGATAATCAATTTTAATTACTTTTAATTAATAAATTTTAATCAATATGATTTTTTTTTTTTAATTGCTGATTGCATGATATTAAGCGAATAAAATGTGCAAGAATAAATTTAAAACGATAATACTGCAATGACTACAGTTACCCCCTTGCTATAATATCCTATAAAAAAATCCGGGTACATTTTATAAGGGCACGGTTTAGAAAATTGAAAAGGACTTGAGTAGTATCCTGAGTATTTAATATGTTGATTCTTATTAAACTTATATTGAAATTATGTAAAGAGCAAGCTCTTTATAATACCCTTCCCATAATTAGTACTTGGTATTACTCAAGAAATTTGGTTTCTGGAATAATACCGTGGGTACTGTAGCCACTTATACTTGTTTATTATAAAACC